AGGGATTTTTTAAAGAAGGAGAAACCATACCAGGCCAACCAAAAAAATAGAAGAGGACAGAATATTAAATGATTGCTCAATGAAGACATTTGCTATGGGGAGCAGAAGAAATGTGATCCAGCTTTTTAAAAATCTTTTTTGTGATTATAAAAATGATGCATGTTCGTTGTAGAACAATTTTGGAATGCTGAAGAAAATAAAGGACTGAATAATAATCAGTGATCATCCCACTGCTCAGAGATCACCATTGCTAACATTTTTGGCATGTTTCTTTCTATTGTTTATTGTTTGTGTGTGCACACACACGCACACACACTGTTGTTTGTAGAACTGATATGATGCTGTTTATAGATTTGTATAAGCTTATCTGCTCTTTTGATTTAACCTTAGAGTATGGCCATTCTTTTTTTACTGCTAAATAGTCTCTGAAAACATGACTTTGGATGGCCATGTAGTGTTTCTTCATGCAGTTGAGCTATACTTTAACTACTTCTTCTTGAAATTATTTACAGCTTTTTGCTCTTATAAATAATGTTACAAAGAAAAATTTTTACAACAAGCCTCCTTCAGGGTATCTCTGATTATTCACTTAGGTGAGATATGCTTAGATGTATTGATATGAGATGGAAGAGAAGAGGAACATTTTAAAGCTCTGAGTGTGTGTTGCTAAAGTGGTACCCAACATGCTTTGTGACCTAAGCGGACACAAATAGCCCACCTGTACATTTGAGAACAGTTGTCTTAAACTTTTGATTTTTGCAGAGCAGTGAAAACACATAAACAAAAGCACTGAGGAGGGGCCGATGGATGGCCCCAACTCGATTTGGTCAAGCAGAGCTTTTCCCACTCTCCTATTTACACTCATCATGAGATGAAATACATTTTAATCCAAAACAGTAAGGATGTGATTTCAGACTAAAAGACAGTTCTTTAAATTGAAGAATTTTTATTTTTGAAAACCTCATTGTCCTTATTTTCCACTCATTTCTCTTTGGACCTGTGCATAGATGAAACTAAATTTTAGCTTTACCTTTTTTTCTAAAGATAAAAAGATCTTTATTTTTAGGTTTCACAAAAAACAAGTTTTTTTTTTCATGTAGTACAAGCAGTTAATTCTTTCTGATGCTTCTAGTGGGCTATGGTAGCTTTACTATGGCCCCTGTCTAGGACTCAGAGGCTTATTAAATCCGGACGCTATTATTAATGTTTTTATATATACATATGTATGTGTGTTCCATTTGCTATGACATATTTGGAGGAGGGTGGCGGTGGGAATGAATGAGGGAGGACCTTAGTCAGGGCCACTAAGATTGAGATACATATAGATCAGAATTGGCTGGAGTTTGTACAAGTACACCCTTTGCAACATTAAACCTTTTTCTTCCTTCTTTTTGTATTAAACTTTTAATTTTGAAAAATTCAGATGTAGAGAAAATTTGCAAGAATAGCCGGTCTCCTCTATATCTTTCACCTAGACCCGCTCACTATTATTTTGCCCCATTTGCTTAATTTTTCTTTATCTGTATCCTATAATATTATACACATTTGAGAATGTTTCAGAGATGATAATTCTTTATCCTTGGTTACTTCAGTGTGTGTTTTCTAAAAACAAGGACGTTCTCTCATTATGCAATGATGTGATTATCAAATTCAGGAAATTATATCATATTGGATGTTTCCAACTGTCCCACCTTTTAGAGTGACTTTTTCTTCCTGACCTGGAATCTAATTGAGAGTCCAGTAGGACATTTAGTTGTCCTGTCTCTTTAGTCTCCTGTAGTCTGAAATGGTTCCTCAGACTTTCATTGTCTTTAGGGCATTCACATTTTTTAAAAGAATACTGGCCTGTTGGTTTATAAAATGTTTCTCTGTTTGGGGCTGTCTGATAGTTTCCCTGTGATTTATTTCAGCCTGTCTATGACCACAAAACTTAGTGACTTAAAACAGCAATAAACGTTGATTATTTCGCAGAATGTCTGCAGGTCAGGGGCTGGGGTGGCTTAGCCAGGTGGTTCTGGCTTTGGGGTCTCTATGAGACTGTAGTCAAAATGCTGCTTGCCAGTTTTCGTCATCTCAGGGCCTAATGGGGGTTGGAGGATCTGCTTTTGGGATGGTGCGTCACATGCTGAAAGTTTGTGCTGACTGTCCTGTGTGTTGGTGCACGGGAGGAACAAGGAGGAAACTTCAGTGTTATGTGGCTTGGAGGCCACATACAGTCACTCTTGCTGCATTCTGTTCACGTGTGGTGGTTTTAAAACATACCTGCAAATTCTTTGACAGTTTCCCTTCAAAAGAAGGAGCCTAATTCTCCCCCTTGAGTGTGGCTGGCCTCCCCTCCATGGAGCAAAGTAACCACTTCCATGAATCGGAAGCCCAGGGTGTCCAAGGATTCGAGTCCTGCTGGCTCTGGCTGGTGGGGATGCCCTGTTGCTTTAGGACACAAGAGAGATCATGCCTCCCACCTCAGCTGACTTTTCCTCAGGTGCCCAGAGCTGGGCCTTCTGATGCAGCAGGATGAGAAAGTAAAGGGGGCAGGAAGGAAGAGCCAGCCCTCCTCTGAGAGCCTCATAGTAGAAGCCTGTTCATGTGGAAAGCACTCCAGTGATGGCAGAGCCTCAGCCACTGCCTGGGAGCCTCTGAGCCCTCTGCAGAGGCTGTCCTGGGATTTGGGAAGAGGGACCTGACGCTCCTTGGAAGACCCTGAGAGAGGAGAGGAGAAATTGCCTGTGTCTTGGCAGGAGGGAGAGCTAGTTGGGAAGATGGGATGCCAGCATCTTTATTTAGATGCCAGTGGCTCACCTGAGCCTCCTGCAGGGTCAAAGGCACGAGCCAGAACCCTGTGACGAGATCTCTGGACACAAGGAGCTCAGCTAAGTACATATACACCCTGTGAGCTGCCCACGTTACCCCACCTCTCCGAGCCTTATCTTTAAAATAGGAACAGTAAGTACTAACATAGGAAGAGGTTTTGAGAGTTAAAGTACAACATTTCATTGATTCTAAGGCCCTTTAAAAAAATGTTTTAAAATTTCTGAAATTTGAATGTCTCTTCAAATCAGTGCATCCTACAGTTACAATTGATAGCAGTTGTCTTTCTTATTGGTTCCCGGTAACTTAGATGAAAACTTGTAGACTGGAGATGAGATAGCACTAAGGAACTGCTTGTTTTTTTAAGTGTTACAATGATATTGTGTTCATTATGAAAAAGAATCTTTATCTCTTAGAGATATATATATATATTGGAATATTTATGGATGCTGCAATATGCTGGATTTTGCTTAAAAATAGTCTGGTATGGGGCGTGGATGAGGACATGGGCGAATCAAGCCATCACATGTTAAGGATTATTGAAGTTAGGTGAACACAGGAGTTTCTTATACTGTCTTCTCTACTTTATTTCATGTTTGAAATTTTTTATAATAAAAGGAAAAGCACACAAAGAAATGAGCTGTGTACACGAAGGGCTTTTCTTCTGCTTTCTGTGGGACTGAGTCCCTCGGTAGTCAGGTCTGATCTTAAATGTCACCTCCTGGAGAGGCGCTCCCTGATTGCCTGTTCTGTGGTTGCCCGTTTACCGTTTCCCCCTCCCCTCTGTAGCTGGTCTCTGTTTCAGCACTCTCCTTTTCTTCCTGGCACCATAGCTTTCTGAAATTATTGATAGTTTGCTTGCTTGCTTATTTTCCCCCGGATTGTAAGCTCTGTGGGAGCAGGGGCTTTGCCTGTCTGGCACATGGTAGGTAATCAGAACGTATTTGTAGACTAACTGACACAGGCCCACTGTGCCTGGCACATGGTAGACAGTCAACAGACATTAGCCTCACCCTGCTTGGCTCTCCATCTCTTTGATCAGCCATCCTGCTTATCTATAAGAACTTTACTTTCTGCCCTAGGAGCCTGTCTGGTCTTTAGCATTTATCTTCTTCTCAAATTTCTAGTCCATCCCTTGGTCTAGCCTTTAACCAGCCCAGCATTCAAACCCTGGTCCCTCTGATATCCCTTGTGGGTTTCTGTTCCTCCCCTGTCTTGCTGTCAGCTATGTCCTCATTTCTAGGAACTGCCCAGTCCCTGGTACGACACTGGAGGAGTGTCACTCAGAGGAGAGAATTCTGTGTCAACAGTGAACCTTCTGTGCAAAGTAACAGAAAACCCTACTAAAGAAAGAAGAAGCTAATTGGTTCGTGTCACTGCCAGTCAAACCCTAATCCCAGAGAGATGGGTGGGCTCAGCCCTCCCCTCACCATGATGAGGCTGCCACAGAATGGAACGGGGTGGTGTGGGAGCTGGGGGGCAGTCAGTGTCCTCTACAGAGCCCTTCCTGGAATGTTCATGCATCCTACCCACAGTTCCAGTTTATGCATTCTGTGCACTGACTGGAAACAAAAGCACTGCTGGGATGCAGGGTAGGGAAGATGCTGGAAGAAGGTGGGGGAGACCCAGGGGATGGTGAGCTCTGGAGCACTGAGAGTGATGCCTGGGCAGGGTGCTGGAGGGGCAAGGAGGAGCGAGCACTGCCCCACACAGGTGGTCCCGGGCTTTCCCAGAGGAGGTGGGGTCAAGAGGACAGAGTGTGCAACCAGGGAAGGGCGGAAAGGGCACTCCCGGCAGAGGATGCAGTCTGAGCAAAGGCCTGGCAGTGGGATTGGAAAGGAGTGGATGGGTGGGAGAGCTGCTGGGCGGGGAGAAGCAACAGTCTCCCTCCCTTCTGATTCTCCTTAGTTGTATGTTGTGCAAATCGGAAAATCATTTTAGAGCTTAAAACCAGTATCCTGCAGTTCAAGCTTGCTGGGTGTCATTTTAGAACCCTTTTTATAATCTACTGGGGTCCTGGTGGAACACGGTGCTGGGGGGCCTCGGGAAGATCCCAGCAGATTACTTGCCATTCCCCAAGGGGAGGTCCCGAGACTGTGACCTATGTCCCCTTCATCGCTTCATCCCTAGCACCAGCCTGGGCCTGGCACACAGGCAAGGGTGGGGTCTTGATTCCTGTATTGTATTTGCAGGTGCAAAGAGAAGAAATATGATTATGATCATTTGCCCACGACATCTGTCGTCATAGCATTTTATAATGAAGCCTGGTCAACTCTCCTTCGGACAGTTTACAGTGTTCTCGAGACGTCCCCAGACACCCTGCTAGAAGAAGTTATCCTTGTAGATGACTACAGCGATCGAGGTAAGCCCCTGTCGTGGGCCCCTGGAGGAGCCTGTCCTTCTGTGGCAGTGCCTAGGAGGTGAGAGTGTGGCATGGGGCATCAAAACAGGCCTGGAAGGACAGGCTTCCTATGTCCCCTTGTGCCCAGTCCCTGCCCTCCGGGAACTGAGAGCCAGGTTGGGGAATGCAGTCGTGATGGCAGAGGGCTCAACCACACAGTGGAGAAGAGGGACTCACCCTGCCTGGGTGCTCAGGATGGGGAGTTGACCTTAGTCTTGAAGGTTGGGTGGTTTGCAGGTAGGGAGGAATGTGGAGGGAGAGCACTTCTGGTGGAGGGCACAGAATATGGAAAGCCTGCCAGTGCTGCTTGAATTGTGTAGACTGCAAGTAGTTCAGGAAGGATGGAGGGCCAGCTGCTTCAGGGAGCAGCAGGAGAGGAGAGGGAAGGGAGGTGGAGAGGCTGCAGGCCTTAAACGCAAGGCTGAGTGCTTGGGACTCTGCCCCGAGGGCAGGGGGAACCAAGGCAGGATTTCAAGCAGGAGACCATTTTTGCCCTTTGGGGGATCCCTCTGGGCTGGAGTGTGGAGAACAGGGTACTGGCAAGCTCTGCAGGGAAGCCTGGGGGTTGTGGAGGTGGCCCAGGTGAGAGATAGAGGCTTGGAGTCAGGTGGGAGGGGAGAGGAAGGGGGAGGAGGGAAGTCTGGGAGGTGGCCTCTGCAGGCCTGGAGGCTGGCTGAAGAGCGAGGAGGACCCTCGGGTCTTTGGGTGAATGGTGGTGCTGTCCCAGAGCTGGAAAAGCCACACAGGGCGGGAGGGACAGGCCTGGGAGGGGAAGAGGGTATTTGACGTTGAACATGTTGAATTTGAGATAAGATCAAAAATCTGGGCAGCCCAGATGGAAGAACTGAAGCCAGGGAGAGGCATTTCACTGAGAGGCTGGTCGGTGTCCCTGCAGACCTGACCAGTGACCTGAGATCTAGGAATTCATATGCAATCCAAGGCTGGCCCTTTATTATTCAGTAAATGTTCTTTGGGTGTGTGCTGGGCATGGGGGAGTCTGTGGGAAACAAGACAAGTCCCTGCTCTCATACAACTCACATTCTAGTGGGGTGGTTGGAGGTGGTCAAAAAACATACAAAGAATATGATACATATAGCACCTAATACCACACAGCATAATGTAACATAACATATACATCACCTAACACAACACAACACAATATTACACAGTATGTACGTCACACAGTACAACACAACACAACCGCACACCATGATGTCACATGGCGCTATCCTACAGCACAAGTAGACAGTGCTCCGAAAGACAGGTGGGAGCAGGAAAGCGAGTGGAGCCCGGGGACCGAGCCTGCTCTAGCTGGTGGGGGTCCGAGAGGCCTCTCTGGGGAAACACAGAACTGAAAGCTGGGTGTGGAGAAGGGGGCAGCCTGATGATCTGGGGGAGGGGGTTGGGCCGGGCGCAGCAGGTGCAGAAGCTAGGCCAGTGGCAGTTCTCCGGGGCAGACCACCGGCCAGTGGGAGTGATCCGGGGGGAAGGTTGCAGGGCCAGCAGGGCCAGATCAGGGGGGCCCTTGGAGGCCAACATAAGGGGTTTAGGCTTAAATAGGAGCCTGGTGGGAGCCGCCTGAGGGCTGTTGAGGGAGCAGGAAGGTTGCTCAGTCATGGGGCTTTTCTGTACTGCCCTGTGGAGCGAGGCTCATGTTGAGGGGGCGGGAGAGGATGGAAGCAGGGAGGGGTGGGGGCCTCCTGCGGCTTTGGCTGTCTGGGTTGGCGGTGTGATGGAGCAGGAGTGAGCCAGTAAATCTTGGGTGACTAGCTGATGCGAGGGCAGCTAACTTAACTGAGAGGGTGTCAAGGCCCTAGCAACAGGGAGAGCCATGGGCTTGGTTGCCAGAGCCTGTCTCAAAGCAAATCACCGCCCCTGGGCCACCCATCAGGGTAGCAACCAGTGCTTATTGGGTATTTGCTGTTTCAGGCTCTGAGGCTGGTCTGTCTGACTCTCCTAATTGGGGGGTGTGCTGGGCTGTTCTCACAGAGACCCAAAATAACAGTAATTTCCATGAAATCAAAATTGATTTCTCTCTCGCAGCACAAAGCTGGGGTAATAGTCAAGGGCAGGAGTGGCGGCTCCATGGCGTTAGGACCTGGCTCCTTCTGCCCCGAGTCTCCACCTTCTCTAGACGATGTGCTGCCTCGGTCTGCGTGGTCCAGGCTGAACTTCACCTCCTGCTCACTCCTGTCAGCAGAAGGGTTTCCAGGGGGCGGAAAACGGCACCTGAAAGCTGCCCTCACATCCCCTTGAGCAGAACTGGAAAGTGCCAAAAACATTTCAGAAGCATGTACTCATTCAGAAGCAAAAATCAAATGATTTTCTCTTGATGGGATTAAACAGCTCCTCAGTAGGCAGTAATACCATATGAGCTCCTTCCAGCACAGTTCAGTTCTCTCATAAATGTGAGCCTCTGTGGGGGCCAAGGCTTCCCCTCCCCATCGCAGTAGTTTGTAAAGCCTGCAGGATGCCTTCCTCAGCCTGCCTCTTCTTCCTACCCTTCCTACAGTGTCAGTCTGAGTTGATGAGGAGGTGCCGCCCCCTTCTAGGATAGGGGAAGTCAGTTCAAGCAGACAGAAAATTGATGCACACCCAACCCATAATGAGTGCTGGGAGGCTGCACCAGTATTTTCCTGTGTTTTTACTGGGCACTGATGCTAATTAGCTTTGCTGGGGAAGTCACCTCCCTTATTCCTGCCATCAGCTTATATGCAGTTATAATTAGGGTTAAAAAAAAATCAACCAATGAACGTTTTCTGTTTGAGTATCAAGACTCTTTAGGGAAACATTTCACAAACAACGAAGCAATATAGAACATTTTACAAACTTTTCCCCTTCCCTGATTGAGGAGGACTTTGAGACAAAGTTCGTATTTATGTGGGGAGATGCTCTCATGTTTATTTGCCTGTGTGGTTCCCACCTGCCCCCACCTGACCCATCAAGGGATATGAATCAGGGCCTGCAGTCCTGGAGTTGGGAGGTCTAGGGCCAGCCCTAGCTGTGGGCATGTCCTTTCAATTCTTAAGGGCTCATCTCCTCTTCTGCAAATTGGGATAAGCACGTCCTCCTGACAAATTTTGGATTTATTTAACAAGGATGAGAAGCTGTAGGAGAAAGCACTGGAGGCAAGGTTAAGTCCATGGACTCAAGCCAGACTCCCTGGATTTGAATCATGACTCCTCAGCTCACTCATGTTGGGACCTTGGCACATTATTTAGCCTTTCTGGCCTCAGTGTTCTCATCTATAAAATGGGGACATTAGTAGTGTGGACATAAGTCCACATAAATTAAAATTTTATGGTGTATTACATAGTTAACATAAATTGACAAAATTTATATGGACATAATTTTTCGGAAAAATTGTAGTTGGATGGTCTGGTGCTTGTTATTTAAACGTTCACAAGTCAAGCTATTTTTGGGGGGATAATAGCTTAATTGAGATATATTCACATGCCACATTCACCCATTTCAGGAGTACAATTCAGTATGCCTGTATTTTGAGGGGGAGCGTTTGATGGTTCTGGAATCTTCCACCCCAGCCTCCCATGCCTCCTAAGCTTCCAAGCTGGGTGCAGTGAGTCCCAGGTGCAGAGCAAAGGAGGCCTGTGTCTATTTAGTCTTCTTTTTGGGACAGGGAGGCCCTGGAAGGACACGGCTGGGAATGTGTGGCGGTGACCCTCGTTGTCCCGCTTGCCTCCCCAGAGCACCTGAAGGAGCGCCTGGCCACCGAGCTGGCCAGGCTGCCCAAGGTCCGCCTGATCCGCGCCAGCAAGAGGGAGGGCCTGGTGCGAGCGCGGCTGCTGGGGGCTTCGGCGGCCAAGGGCGACGTGCTGACCTTCCTGGACTGCCACTGTGAGTGCCACGAGGGGTGGCTGGAGCCACTGCTGCAGAGGTGCGTGAGTTGTTCACGGGGGGGGGGGCGGGGAGGGGTGCTGAAGCAGAAAACAAACTGATTACCATGGCATGAGAGGCAGGGGTGCTGGGCTCAGATGCCCCTTGGGCAAAGCCTCTGTCCCTGGACGTGCTAGCAGTCCCTACCTCGTGGGGCTGTGGAGGCCATTAAATGATTTAATATATGGACACCAGTGCTTAAAACATGCCAGCATGCAGGAGACCTCAGATGAACACTTGCTTTTATATTGCTTATTGTATAGGTTTATTGTAGAAAAGTTAGATAGTATGATCACCCAAGAAAAAAAATATTGTCAATCATATAGAATCACATTCCTAGAGAATCTACATTTTGATGTATTTCCTTCAAGCAGGGCTGACTTATCCATTACACCCAGTACCTACAATGCCTAGGGCTCAGGGATCTTTAAGAAACCAGAAAAAATGTTTTTATGTTCATTTCTTTTAAAATCACAAGGGAAAAAGCTGCTATCATAATAGTGAATATATAATAATTAATCAAGCCTGGATTATGTTTGTCTTTGTACCAATATAGTCATAAAATATTGTTTTTATATATATATATATTTTATGGAGTCATGAAAGTCATAATGTTGCTGTATCTTTAAGGTCATTTCCCCTGCTTCCCACAGCCTCTTACGCTAACCCTCCCCCCTGCCCTCCCCAGAACCACTGTCACTGGCTGACTTTTGTCCTCTTTTTCTCCCTCGCTCCCTCCCCATTCTCCTGATTCTGCATCAGGAGCTGGGCTGGCAAGCCCAGAGCTCTTCCTGGATGAGGAGGAAGGTCTGGGGGGTCTGTGGTATCCCCATGTGGAGCGGGTGAAGGGCTGGAGGATCAAGGTCTGTGCAAACTTCTTTCCCTTGGCTTCCACCACTTGGTTGCCTGGGTCTGTCTGGAAGAGCTGGGACCCCCTCGCCTCCCTTCCTTCATGAGACCAAGTTCTGTTCTGCCACTTCCTGCTGTCCTGGTGCTTCACTGCATCTTTCTCTCCCCTCTGCTCTGATGAGCTTCACCAGCAGCAAGGACTCAGGGTTTCTCAGGCCAGTGGTAGAGTCTGAGATGATTTAGAACATAGAGACAGCTGGGTGCTCCCTCTGGAACTTGGACTAGTGGGTTTGCCCTGCCCCTCGCCCCACTGTGCATGCAGAGGGCTGCCTCTAGGCCTCTCTGAAGTCATGGTGAGGGCACTTTTCCCCTTCAGCTGATTCATTAATGCCTCCTAGAATTCACCTCCACTCCAGCCCAATGCACCCTTTGAAGAGAGCAAGGCAACACTCCTCATAATCACATCCTTTCTCCATACCTGGAGACAAAAGGATTCTCTCCTGGTTGCTCATTAGAGACAAAAGGGGAACTTTCAAAACCTGTGGTCCCACAGCAGATTATTTGGATCTGAATCTCTGGGGTGGGGCCTGGGTTTTTGGAGTTTCAGAAGCTCCCCAGGGACTTGGGTGTGCATCAGAGTTGAGCCACACTGGGATGATAGACTGTCCCTCATATAGTCCTAACCAGGCAGAGTAACCCCTTCCCTCCAGGGGCTTTGGATATGGAAGATGTTGGTTGTCACATCAGCTAGGTAGCACTCCTGGTATTTTATGAGCCACTACTGATATTTGGGGCAGAACCATTCTTTGCTGTGTAGGGCCGCACTGCACACTGTAGGATGTTTGGCATCCTGGTCCCTGGCTAATGAGTTGCCAGAAGCTCTACCCAGTAACAGCTGATGCTGGGCCCGCACATTCTCTAACCATGATTTAGCATCCTGAGGCTAGTGCTAGCTACCTACCCCCCGACTCTGTTTTCCTTTTCTTGTAAAAATTAGGCTACGCATAGTTCCAGCATGACTGTTAAGTTCAAAGTTTATAATTTATAGGTCTCAAATTCTAGAGAACTGCCCCCAAGATGTAACCCAGAGAAATCTAGTGTTCACACATGATCTAGTCTCAGTTCATGTTTCCTGGTGTGCCGTCAAATGCAAAGAAACACAGTCTGGAAACATGCTGAAGGATGGTTGGGCTTGTAAGAGTAATTGTGGAGAGAATCGCTGAAGCATACCCACAGGCTGATGCCTGCAGCAGGAAATCATCGCATTTTCCACTATGTATAACATTCATAATAATAAAGATTAAAAGAAAAGAATAGCAGTAGTTCCAGGTTCTCCAGCAGCCTCTTGCAAACATTCCCTCTGGGAGTCCACATTAACCTCGTGAGTAGGTATTACTGTTCCAGTGTTGCCCACCATGCAACTGGCTCTGAGAGGTTCGGTAACCTGACTAACATCACACAGCGAATAAGGGACAGGAGTAGAATTTATCTTCTAACTCCAAAGTATCTTCTAATCCAAACTCTTTGGTCTGGGTGCATCTTTGTTCCTAGGGAGATAATTATTTCTTGACTTTACGATGTTTCATTGTGATTACATGAAGAAATCTCTTCCAATCTTGAAAACTGAAAAATCTGCTTTCTGTTTTAAAAGTTACCTTTGATTTTTACATGTGTTGACTTTGATAGAGGAATTCAAGTTTAGCCAGAATATCCCTAGATGGCCTCAGAATATTAAAGCTGTGGAATTTTCCATATCAAGGCCAGAATCCTTGCTGCCTGCCTCCCCCTCCCTGCCCTGGCATCCTCCCTGACACCCACCTGCCAGGGCTCAGACTTTGCTGTGGACATCTGGAATAAGAGAATCAGGCCCTTCTCACACAGGTGTTCCTCCTTCCTAGTGGAAGGCTGAGGAGCGTTCACTCCCAAGTTTCCTAATTGTCCTCCTACTGCCTGTACACAGTGGAGTAACGGGGGCTTCTGGATGTTTCCAGGATCCATGAAAAGGAGTCGGCAGTGGTGTGCCCTGTGATTGATGTTATCGACTGGAACACCTTCGAGTACCTGGGGAACCCTGGGGAGCCGCAGATCGGTGGTTTCGACTGGAGGCTGGTGTTCACGTGGCACGTGGTTCCCAAGAGGGAGAGGATTCACATGCGGTCCCCCATCGATGTCATCAGGTCAGGGGTCTACTTCTCTGAGCGTGCCTCATTGCACCTAGCCAACTTATTGATGAAGGCCCTTGGGAGGGATGGTTAGCTGTTTTATGTAACATAAAATTTACCATTTTAACTATTTTTTAAATGCACAAGTCACTGGCATCAAGCACATTCACAATATTGTACAACCACCACCTTTACATATTTCCGGAACTGTTTCACCAACCTATGCAGAGACTCTATATAACCATTAAGCAATCACTCCGTTTCCTGCCCTCCTCTAACCCCTGGAAAACTCTCTTCTAGTTTCTGTCTCTATGGATTTCCCTATTCTAGATACCTCATATAAGCTTAATCACATATTTGTCCTTTTGTGTCTGGCTTCTTTTCCTTAACACAGTATTTTCAAGGTCCTTCCAGAACTCCATTCCTTTTTATGGCTGCATAGTATTCCATTGTGTATATGTCCACACTTTATTTATCCATTCATCTGTTGATAGACACTTGTGTTATTTCCACTTTTTGATTATTGTAAATGATGCTACTGTTGTCTTTTTAAGTCTCTGTTTTCAGTTCTCTGGAAAATATATGTAGGAGTGGAATTGCTATGGAAATTCCATGTTTAATACTCTGAGGACACACTGTCAGGTCCTTTTTGAACTGGGGGTGAGTGGACCTGGGGGTTCAGGGGCCAGCTTTGGCCAGTAGGTGAGCCTGGGTCTGAGTAGAATGGCCTCAAGGAGGGCTCAGTTGCCCTCATTCTTGAAGTGTTGAAGTAACAGTCTGGCTGCTTCTTTCTCATCCAAGTTCAGGACCAAATAGGAGGCAGATGTAGGAGTCAGGAAGGTGGAGGATGGACTTCAGCTTTTTTGCTGGGGTATTGACCCAAAGATGGTGTCATAGATCTGCACCCACACTTGGCAGTTGGGCTTCTGAATTCTTCACCTGAATTCAGACCTTGAGATGGCCCACTGCTGGCTGGAGTGTATTGAGTATGGAGACAGTGTTGAGAGATGGGGCTGGAGAGATGAACAGGGCTAAGTCATATCCAGCCTTGAAGGCCAAGGAAGGGGATTTGGACTTTACCCTGAGTGGTTAGAAGCCACTGAAAGGATTTGAGCTGGAAGTGCCCTTAGCTTGTTGCATTATTTGAAGGTTGTGCTGGATGCACATGGTGGGGGCCTGCAGCCCTGCCACTGGGAGTGCTGCAGTCTTTTAGGTCAGAAATGATGGTTCAGGAGATGGAGGGACATGGTGGACTCCAGAGATGTTAAGGTGGAGAATTGGGTGGAATTAAATGGGAATGGGGGAAGGAGGACTCAAGGATGATCCATAGGCTTTTGGAGGAGCCCTGAGGTGGGGGAGGGAGCATCCTGCCCAACCCCCCACTGAACAGGTTGGAAACTGAGGCACCAAGTAGGAAAGATCATATCCAGGGTCACATATGCAGCCTGTGATGTTGAAGTGAACTGTCCCTGTCTGCACACACACACACTCAGGGACATTATGGCCAACTATCCTTCCCCTCCTGTAATATCCCTGGTCTTCAGTTTTCTCACCTGTGAAATAGGTATGAACATATTCACCCTCCCTATTTCCTAGATTTTTAGGATGAACACATGTGAAAGTGCTTTGTAGTCTAGAACCTTTCCTTCCACAGTGTTGGTTTCCTGTTCTCATTGGCCCAGAGCTTGGATGCAGGGAAAGCCGATATTCTGTCAAGGCCCAGAAGGACTGCTGGAGGGCCTTAAAATTTTTTAAACTGTTAGGCTTTCCATGTTATATATTTCCCCATCTCTGAATTGATTCCTTTGTATCTGCATCTCTGGTATGTTGATGCTACAGCTTTCTGCTGGGGTAGGATAGAAGCCTGCGGTCATTTTTGAAACCAGTGCTCATTTCTAGATGAACCAGGTAGGGAGAAAATGGGGCTGACAGAGGCCAGAACTGGCCTTGTGGGTCCTGGAGGGGAGACCACCTGAGCAGGAGAGGCTCAGAGCCTTGGGGAGCTTTAAGATGCCAGGGTTGCTTCTCCTGGACTCTGGAGCACCTGTGAGTGCTGTACAGTGACTGCGTGACCAAGGCCGCCACAGCCTGCGCCTGCCGTTCTCTCTGGGAACATGGTCTCTCTCTGCTCCTCTCTCCTTACTGCCTATGCTTCTGGGAGTACAAGGGTTTCCCTCACCCTTAGGCCTTTGCTCTTGCTCCTGTCTTCTTGAAGGAACATTCCATTCCTTTTCTGGGCTAACTCCCCTTTGTTCTGCACACCATGCCTCCTCCAAGAAACTTAGCCCTGCCCCTGCCCTGTGGCCTCCTGTGTTCCCACAGGGCCTGGGTGGATCTTAGTAATCCCACAGAGTTCTGTGCTTGCCTGCTGACACGTCTGTGAGATTCCCCAGGGCAGAGGCCGAGAGGCACGTCCAGCCCAGCTTAGCACCAGGCACAGGGTGTGAGCTCCGGGTGTGCTTATCTGGGTGAATGGGCTCAAGGCTTGTGCTGGGAAGGAATTCAAGTGACAAGATGGTTTCCTGCCGATTACATTGAAATATGGATATCACATGCTTCTAGGTCTCCAACCATGGCTGGTGGGCTGTTTGCCGTGAGTAAGAGATATTTTGAATACCTGGGGTCTTACGATACAGGAATGGAAGTTTGGGGCGGAGAAAACCTCGAATTCTCCTTTAGGGTAAGCATTCCCGTCTTGTACTTGGACTCATTCTTTAGCTGCTGTCTCTCTGGGAATGGTGGATTTGCTCTGAGAGCCTGATGGACCTCTCCTCCATGTTGTCAGTTAATCCAGTGGTATTGAAAGATGGCAGTAGTACACACATCCTCTAAACACACTTACCTTCTTGTGTGAACTTTTTAAAAATATATACTTTTAATAGACTTGGGGTTGGAAAGGGTCTTGCAAGTCACCTAATTCTTTCCTCTGACTACACAGAGGGGAGGGACAGAGGCCGTACAGAGGAGGTGACTGGCTCAAGGGTGCTCAAAGAGTACGTAGCAGAGACTGGACTAAAACACAAGGCCCTGCCTCTTGAGCTGGTATTTTGGAGCCTTGATTTGCTTGATAGCTTAATAAAGTAGCCTCTTTATTTGGCATAGTGACTTTCAAACTTTAACACATACAAGAATTGTTAGGAAAACTTGTTTAAAAAGAAGATTGATAGGCATGGTCTCTGGAAAGGCAGATTTGACAAATTTACAGCAGGGACCGGCAATCTGTCTTTTATAAGAAGCCCATCTATTGATTCTGTTGTATGTGATCCACAGATGTCCCTTTGAGAAACTCCTAGCATTTTGATTGGTTTTCTAGTTAACTGAATCTTGCATTTTAATTATCAAAACCGCGTGTTGATGTTTGTGCTTTTAAATAGAAAATTTAAGAATATTTTATATGGTTTCCCACTTAAAAAGAGTTAATAAACAAGAATTTGGCTCTCCACTGAGGACTCCCCACCTCCCCCATTATAAGCACTGGATGCTGTCCTTGGTCGTACATCCAGGGGACAGTGGGGTGTTCACAGCCATTTGCCCAGCATGGAAAGGCTCCAGACTACTCCACCTGTTGAGTTTGAGGATGTACTCTTAATGGTCTTTCTGCCTCTTCCCTAGGTGTCAGGCTGCTCTGCCTGCCTCTAGAAGCTCTTCCTTTCCCCCTTCCAAACCTCTCTTCTTACTTGCTGCTTTCCTATCTTCTGTGGCTAGGAGACCAGGTAATCAGCCTGTGTTTTATGTAGTGAGTCAATGCGTTCCCAGTGAGGTCCACTGTGGGTGCTCCTAGGAGTCAAGTGCATGAGCCTTAGTGCGTGGACTTTGGGGTCTGGGTTCCGATGGCTTATTTGTCTTTGGGGCTGCTTTCTTGCTCTTTGACTGCATCCTGTGTCCCGAGTGTGCTGAAAAGTGGCTGCCTGCCCCAGGGAGGGTGAGGTCTTGGCAGTGTTCACCACGACCTCCGTGTGCCCAGCCTCCTGGTGCAGGCACTGGGGACCAGCAGCTCACTTCCCGCTCACCACCTCCCACCCCGGCCTCCTCCTGGCTCTGTATGCAGATCTGGCAGTGCGGAGGCACCCTGGAGACGCACCCGTGTTCGCACGTAGGCCACGTTTTCCCGAGGCAAGCTCCCTACTCCCGCAACAAGGCTCTGGCCAACAGTGTCCGCGCAGCTGAAGTGTGGATGGATGAATTCAAAGAGCTCTACTACCATCGCAACCCCCACGCCCGCTTGGTGAGTCCCCGGCCCACCTACACTCCATCTGGCTGCATCCAAACAAAAGCAGCTATTTCTGGCCTCCCTCCCGGGGTAGATAGACCCGGTTCCAGAAATAGAGAGGAAATCGGGTGCTCGTGATACAAGCATGGTAAAACTTTATCCCTTCCTGTATCATCGTAACAACAGACGGTTGACACTCATTATTCACAGTAGTTATGCTCTCTACAGTCACCGCAGACACAGAGTTCAGGACTGACTACTGAGCCGTTGCTCTTGGTGGAAATACACGGTTGGATTCCTGCAAACTTCTCACAGGGGGACATGTTTTGTCAACCAGTCAATACATGACTTGATTTTATGTGTGTTTCTCTTTAAATAGCTTATCTAGTATGTATTGTTGATTGATTGCATAGAATGCACGGTCAACAACACTGTGTAACTCGTGCCCAAAGCTCATCTAATGAACCTGTTTCTCCATGAGGCACAGCACAGCCTTCTTGCACTAGGAATACTGGACAGCACCTCAGCACTATGCTTGTGGGCCATTTTAAACTGTGAAATCACTGACAAAGAGTAGAACAATCTGAAAAATGTGAAACTAAATAGACCATGAACAGAGCACTTGTTCTCAGGACTAGAGCTGAGACATGACCAAAGGTGGGAATATGCATGGAGAGTGACTCAAGTTTTTTGTCTCTGTGTGCTGCTTGTCCGTGGATCACTGTGAAAGTGTGAAGACACCGCAAGTATTGATTTTTGGGTTACAAATAAGTTTTAGCAAACAGGTGCACAAACTCTGTATACATCAGCTCCACACGCCCCAGGACAAGGCTCCCACTTACCCTATGTTCACATAACTAAGGCGCTGCTTGGCAAGACAAGAAGGTCTGCTCCAAGACCTCCTTCCCAGCCACTTGATGGAAATCTCTTCTTGTGAATCCTTACAGCAACCCATCAAGGTAGCTCTGAAATTTTCACTTTATAGATAAGAAAACTGGAGCTCAAAGAGAGGGTGTTTAAGGAGCTTGCTTAAGGCTGCATGGCTGATGCAGGTGGAACTGGGTCCAGTCCAGTGCATCTCTCTCTGCTTTGTAGAGCCCTGTGGACCATTACCCTGACCTCCCCCTGGGCGTCTCTCTGCCTCTGGAATCCAGAGTCACTGCTTGCTCTGTCTTGCCCACCCTGTAGGGTAGGAACATCTGCTCTTCCCTGTTATACAGTCTGGAACCCACGGTTCCCTCTTCCTGAGGGTTCCCAAAGAATAATGCCATTAGAGGGGCACTGCCTGCATCTTTTGTCCCAACCCAAGGGCCAAGTGTCGAGATGGATATTTGGTTGAAGATGAGGGCACATGACCCTCATCAGAGAATGAACTTCTGGGAAATAAGCAGAAATCTGAAATTTTATTCAAACATTTTTCCTTATCTTTTCCATTTTGTCAAATATTTAACTTGTCAAATGTTAATAGTTTAACATCCTTGTGCAGGGACAGTCATATCTCTGCACTCAGCACTTCTCTTGTGGCTGCACGTTTGCTGTGCTAAATAGAAACTTGCTTTATTTGGGTATTCGAACGATCTTAATCATTGGTTCTGTCCATAAAACTAAACTTCCACAAGTATTTATTATCGCTGCGTTTTGCTCTTACCATCAGAAGTATGTATTTAGACTGCAATAGACCGAGCACATGAGAAGGTTTGCATGCATGATTTCCTCTAGAATACCAACCTGTGTTTGAAAGTGAGTGTTCAAGTGTCCATGGTAAATCAGAACGTCATGGCATACGTGTGCTACTGATGTGCTAATGATCTGTGATTGCATGCTCATTGGTGATGCCCGGGACGAGGGATGCTAGTGCAGCCCCAGGACTTGGCTCCCTGATTCCATTGGTAGGTGCTTTGTGTCCCTCCCTCGTGTACCTGCCTCCCTCGTGTACCTGGCTGCTCCTCCCTGTACCTGAGCACCTGGGAGTGTCGTTGTTTGTGCAACAGTCTCTCCTGCTAGGGTGCAACAGCTATGTCTGAGGCCATTTCTTGTTCTCTGTGCCCTGTGCAGGGTCCTGCACACAACAGGTGCTCCATAAAAGCTTAAAGAGTTAGTGAGCATCAGTGGAGAGAAAGGATTTGATAGGAAGCACTGTGACCTGCTGAAGCTCACTGTTTTGTCGTTTTTCTCAGGAACCCTTTGGGGACGTGACAGAGAGGAAGCAGCTCCGTGCAAAGCTCCAGTGTAAGGACTTCAAATGGTTCTTGGAGACCGTGTATCCAGAACTGCATGTGCCTGAGGACAGGCCTGGCTTCTTTGGGATGGTGAGCGAGGCGGGCCCCTGCTCTTGGCTTCCCTGTCTGATTGATGAACCCTGGCCAAGAAAGGCGCCCTTCATGGGAACTGCTGGCCTCTCCTACACGCTCTCCCCCCTCTTTATCCACTGTCCTTCCTTCTCCCCTTGAGTATCTTGGCCTTAGATGCAGAATGTCAGCACTGAAAGCACCTCAAAATTGGCAAGTGCAGCCTCCTGAAATATTTTACAGATGGAAACTGAGGCTCACTTGATGTTTCCATGTCCTATTTTTCACTTGTTCCTTATCCAATTACTTCAAGCGTCAATGGCTGGACCAGTTACCAGTTGCCAAGTCAGGGGTCCACAAGAGCCATAGTGGGGAGGGAGAGTCATTTCTGTTATTTCAAAAAACCTAAAAGAAATGTTTCTGGGATGAGGTCAATGAAAATGTCCAATGCCTTTGGCTTTTGCTTGGAACTCCACCAACCTAGGGAGGCCTCCTCTGCTGTGTTGTATTCATCAGAAGAGCTGGTGTTCCATTCTGGAAGTCTTGATAAATACAAAGCACGGTATTAACATGCTAATTTCAGTTTTCTTTACAAAAACAAAACTGAGAAACACAGAGAGAGTGATATAGTGAACTCTGTCCCCAAGATTCTGGAATTAGCAGGATTTTGCCTCTCTTGATTTCCCTCTCCTCTGCCCCACCCTCCCACAGTTTCTTTTTTCCAGCAAACCCCAAGCATCACGTCATTTCATTCCTCTTCACCCAGCGTGCATCTCTGTATGGACATTCTTACAAAACCACAGGCCATTATCACACCTAATCAAATGAACAATAATTTCTTGGTGTCATTTAATATCCAGCCAATTGGATTCCCCCAATTTCTCAAATTTCTCTTGTATTTGGCTAGTTCCAACTGGGATCCAAACAAGGTCTACACATTACATTTGGTTACCATGTCTTTTCTCCTAAGTCTCTCTCTCTCTTTTTTTTTTTTTTTGAAATATAGTCTCTTGATTCAAGGCAATCTTCTTCCATGCCCCCACCCCCTTTGTTAATGCCTTTAACTTGTTGAAAAACAGCATCAGTTGCACTGTAGAGTGTCTCACCCTTGGAACTGTCTAATTGTTTCCTTGTGGCATCTTTTAAATCATGCCTCTTCCCCCTATATTTCTTTAAAATAAAAACGAGGTCTAAAGTTTTGATTGGAGTTGGAATTAAGCTTTTTGGCAAGAACACTTCACAAGTGTGATTTGTACTCACATTGCGTGGTTGCGGGAGTACATAACCTCTGGTCATCCTGCCTCGAGTGATGAGATTGATCAGTGGGTGCGTGGGGCGTCACCTGGACCACCCACTAGCAGGTGCCACTTCAGTCTTCCAGCTAACGTTTTAAGTAGCCATTAGTAATCATTATCTAGATCCGTTATTTCCAGTGGCGTTGCCAAACAGTGGTTTTTCTAGTTCTTTCCTTTCTTCTGCATTTATTAGCTGGGATTCTTCTACAAGGGAGAACATTCCCTTGTTAACTAGGACAGTTTGGTATCCATGAAATTTAGAGTTCCTTCAGAAGCGACATAACAGATTCTTAAGTCTTTCTCTTTATTTGACTACTTGCCAAGCAGGAGTTGGTACTTTAGTTTCTTCTGGGTTGTATTTGTGTCTGTTGGCTCATTTGCTTTTTGGCTTTTTCTTTTGAGTATCATTGTAGGTCACTGGGTTTTTACACATCCAATTTGGTCTTTCAATTTGTCCTGTCTTTGACAAGTAGGAATCTATTTAGGCTTCTGTGATCTTGACGCCATGGTAGCAGCTTTGATTGCTTCCTTGACTCTGGCCACACTTATCTTGCACACTTGCTGCCGTTCCTCTCAGAAGCCTTGATCGTTTTAGTGAGGGTTAGTATTCAGAGTCCTCACTCTGGATGCTAGTGCTGGTCTTTGTCTCAGAAACTATAATGCCAGCTACATGTGTAATTTAAAAATTTTAGTAGCCATATTGAAAAAAGAAACAGGTGAAGTTGATATTATATTTTATTTAGCCTCACATATCCCAAATATGATCACTCCAACATGCAAGTTGATATAAAAATTAATTTACTGAGATTTTATACATTCTTTTCTTCATACTAAGTCTTGAAATCTCAGTTTGGACTGGTCACATTTCAGGTGCCCAGTAGCCACATGTGGCCAGTGAGTACCATGTGGGCTGGCGCAGCTCTACACTTTCTCAGTGGGCAGAGAAGGGAATACATATTATTGAGAAGTAAATCATGAGCTCTTATTGATACTTCAAATTCAAATGTAATTTTATAGGATTTTTTCTTCTTTGATATTATATTTTTTCTTGCACTGAAAATCTTGGTTTCTAAAAATACTAACCTAATTACTTGTTTTATTTTAAAATATATTTTAAATTGTTTCCAAATAATAATACAGTATTACCACTGACAGTCTGATACTGAATGAATTTTGACTTCTTACAGCTCTATTTATTTATAGACTGTGTTTCACTAGGGACGTGTACTCAAATATACTCTGCTCTAAAGTCATTCAAAATTATTCTTTTCTATATGTTTATCATCAACTTAATATAGTTATCTTGATTAATCTCAGTTTTAATCTTTAGGGAGTTCTCCCTTTTTTCTTTTCTTCTTTCTTTTTTAATATTTTTGCATTTTCTTTGGTAGACAAAATCTTTTGAAAATAGGGAGCTCATTTGAGGTCAAGGTCCTTTGGTGATCAGGAGCGGGTACCACTTGGCTTAATGACATTTGAGTCCTTCTAAATCTAAGATGCTCTAATTATTCACATCTCCTGTTCCCAGGTTCCTTCACAAAGCAAAGGGACCTCAAGAACACAGAGGTCTGTGTTTTATGAGCTAGTGGATTGTGGATCCCTTCTTTCTATATGGCTGAGTCTTATCCTCAGAACCAGGCTAGTCAAAGGTAGACAAGGGCCAGGGCAGGAGTAGGGTTCTGGAGAAGCTATTGAGGGTTCTTTAAACTCTTCAGAAAGGGATTTGGAAGATGCTGTAGTCTTTTTTCTGGAGGCTCCTGGAAGGGAGGAAGAAGCATGGAACCTCCCATGGTTTTTTGCTCTTAGACTGATTAAGGGGATTTAGATCCAAAAGTATCTTAGAGATAACATTAGGTTAGGCAATGTTGAGTGATGGAGAGAGCACTGGACTTGGATTCTGAGGTCCTGGATTCAAGACTCAAGTATCTCCACTCATCTGTGTGCAGATCATTGGCTCTGTATTACACTGTTCCTGTAATCTGCAATGGTGGCCTTCTGATCTGAGATATGCCTAGTCTCTCATTTGGGGTGTCCTTTGCAGGTGCATAATAGCAGGAGCTCCTTGGTACATATGCGAGGTGACAACCCAGCTATGTTTAGACTAGTGCAGCAATATAGCTGCACTAATTAGACATGAAGCAGTGTGAGCTCTCAGGCCATGAAGAGTTCATCTCTCTGCTCCTCAGGTTTCTCATCTTAAAATGAGGGTTGTGATTCCTGCCTAAGGTATAGAATAGGAAAACACTTTAAAAATCAGAAACAGAAGGGACTCTTAGCACTGAGTCCAGCTCTTGAGGCAGGCACTCCTCTCACTCCATTTACCCACCTCACAGCCTTGGGTGGAATCTGTTGTGTATAAACATGGACCAAAATGCCACCTTTGTGTTTTGTTTAGCTCCAGAACAAAGGACTGAAAGATTACTGCTTTGATTATAACCCTCCCAATGAACACCAGATCACAGGACACCAGGTCATTCTGTACCACTGTCACGGGATGGGTCAGAACCAGGTGGGTGCTACTGCTTTAACAGCTTGTTCTCAGGCTGTGGGACCATGGACAGCGGGAGGCTCTGTGCTCAAGGAATCAGTGATGTGGGCCTCTAAGGAGGGAGATGAGGAGAAAAATCTATGCGTTTTAAAAATATTTAATATGTGATTTTTTTATTATAGAGGTAATATATACTCATCACAAAACATTTGGGAAATATAAAAAGTGGAACAAGTAGTGAGTGACAGGACCCAGAGCAACCACCATTATAATTAAGACATATTTACTTCTCGCAGGGTAATGGTCTTAGAATAAAGATTAAAGAGGACAATCAAATGCAAAACATCAGTGAATCCTGGTCTGGGGAAACTACACATGCACAACTATAAAGCACGTTTGGGGGCAATTTGGAAATTTGGACATGGACTGTATATTAGATAATATTGTTATTTCGCTGTTAAATTTCTTGAATGTCATTCATTATACTGTTGTGGTTACATAAAAGAATGTGGTCTTAAATGCTGCACACTGTAGTATTTAGAGATGCTGTGCTTCCTGCAACTTTCTATAATTGTTCCTAGGGGGGAAAATTATATATATACACACACACATACATATGTAATAAAAGATAAAACAGTGACATATATACACATACACCTGCTTTATCTCTCACTCAGTGTGTGTATGTATGTAATTATATGAACATATGTATACATATATATACACAGAGAAAATGGGGAGAGAGAGGTTCATATATGTTTATATACACTTTTATTTACATATACATGCATTTATCTACTTACACAGAATGAGAGAAAGAAAATATGGCAAATGTCAAAAAAAAGATATATTTACTTCCCATCTTTTTTGTGCCTGACCTGGGGATTATGTATTTTAAATAGTTGTTATAATATCTATATGTTTTATATCCCATTATTTCCATCACTTATACTTTTCTAGTGTTGTTAGACATCCTCTGAGAATATCATTCCTAATGGCCTCTTGATATTCCTTTGTGTGGCTGTATTAATTACTGCAGAGTAACTGACTCTCTGCCTCCCTGTTTTTGTGATTATAAATAACCCTGTCACTAATATCTTGGCTGAGAAAAAAAAAAAGAAGGAAAAAGCATCAGATGTGCATTTCAGCTGACTTAATTAATACTTCAGTGGAATTACAGGATTCGACGTGTCATGCCACACTGCAAAGTGGTTTTTAGGGCAGTTGCCTCAATTGGGCCCCAGAGCGGTCTGTCTGGATTAAGTGTTGAACCACAGGCTGGGCAGGGGAGTAAGACCTGGAAGATCTGAGGACCGGAATAGGACCCCAGTCCAGGGAAGCAGGGGCCAGTGGAGGATGCAGGAGAGAGCAAAGCGTTAGTTCTGGACCTTCAAAGCCTTACCGTCTTAAGAGGTGTCAGACACTGGAGACGAGGGTTGGGGATTCAAGTTTTCCTCCAACCTGGAGTCACCCCATTTCCGTTTGAATATTACACCCCATTATGGTCAACAGTAAACTTTCATAATTCGGACCCCTACAACGTTAAAATTTTCGGGTTCTTCAGCCCCTTTTAGAACAGTGCTCCTCAGAGGTGCCCCCACTGGTACTATCAGCATCACCTGAGAGCTTAGAAGTCCAGGTTCTCAGACCCACCTGAATCCCTTGCGAACCCATCTCTTGTCTTGGCCCCGTTTCAGGGAGGTTCGTTTGAGAAGCACTGCTCCACGTGCCTTCAGAACAGCCACCTGTGCCAGAATCTCAGGAAGCAACAGGGTAGGGTAGGGTGGATGGTGGCTGCATGTCTTGTTAGAAGTGTAAAAGTACGGCTTCCTGGGCGCCATCTCAGACAAAAGGAATCCTCCTCCTCTCTCTGGGAGCGGGGCCCAGAATCAGCATTTCCCTAGACACACTATGGTGGGAAAAACATTGCTCTGAAAAACAAGCCCCCCCATTAGCAGTCCTGTTGCTTGCTGTGCACAGCACCTTACAGTCTCCCAGGCATGGTTGCATCTATGATATTTGGAGAGGAGGAAGAGGAAGGGACTGAAGAAAGTAGCTGGCCAAGGTCACAGAGAGCCTTCAAGTGCTGGTGCTGGGACCAGTCCATCTTCTTTACCACCCTTCTGCCCCAGCCCAGGGATAGGCACAGAGGGTGTGGGGTGACCAGGCACCAGCCCTGCCCTCACCATCTAGCAAATGAGGAGGGCATGAGAAAGGGCGCCTCCATTCGCACTTGCTAAGCACCCCGCCAGAGGTGCACTGGGTGCTGCAGGGACACACATGGTGTCGGTGGGTGAGAGGAGAGGGCTGGACTCCAGCACCCAGGCCCTGCTGACCCAGATTCTTACCCCTCTTTCTAAAGATTTCCCTCTTTGCACATCAGAGGGTAACTGGTGTGTCTTGGCTGCTCCATTTCTAGTTTTTCGAGTACACGTCCCAGAATGAAATACGCTATAACACCCACCAGCCAGAGGGCTGCGTGAGTGTGGAAGCAGGATCGGATGTCCTCATCATGCATCTCTGTGAGGAGGCCACCCCAGAGGATCAGAAGTTCATCCTGCAGGAGGTAATCAGGCGACCTCATGCCTTTCTTGCTGTTGGTCCTGGTCCCTCAGGCTGCAGAGGGGGGTGTGGAAGTAAAGCGAGTCCCTGGCAAGTCTCAGGGATGCAGTCCCTAGCAGAGACCAGGAACTTCACAGTGAACCCGAGGGGTGGCAGTCCTACTGAGGTCCTGTGGCATCCAGCACCAATTTTCTTCTTTCCTCACTGTCCACTCCCTTTCAGCCTCCCTGTCCCCCTCACACTTTGAGCTGCAGCTGGCTGGAATGGGAAGAGGAGCTGTCCCCAAAGCATTTGGAGATCACATGGGGTTCAAACAAGGGAAACAGATAGCCACGTGTAAGGACATGAGGTTAGATCCAAGTATGAGCCACTCCCGTTGCCTCAGCCTCATTTTTCCCAGCTCTGAAGTGGGAACAATGATCTCAGCCTTGTCTACCTCTAGTGAGGAGTACAAGTATGGCCAGAAATAGTCTTTGGAAGGTGTAAAGCTCTACAGAGATTAGTTTTTACTTGTGGTACAGCAACCAGGAAAATATCTCTCTGATGGAGTTGGCGCTCCGTCGGAAGAGTCACTGTTGATTTGGAACTGGGTGTTATTTCAGGCCCAAAAGGCACTAACCCCACCACATTTTGCCATCAGCCCATGATGCAACTCATACATCAGTCATAGCCCGTGACTCACTAAAAAGCGCTTGAGGGAATAAATCCAAAGAAAATAACTCAAAAGAAAGAATTAGTTCACTTTTAGCGCCATGGGAAGCTTTCATTCCCAGTCTGGCCCCAGGGATGGAAAGATTCATCTATACTACTTAGAAATGGATTCATTCTAAGTATGATTAGAAGTTGGAATATGCTTTCTTGTAGAAAATGTTATGATTAGCAATGAAATTTGCAGGTTACCTGGAAAAGTCAGACATCATAGTACTGCCTATTTGATATAAAAAAAATAGGGAAAAATGCTTCTGTGAACCCCAACAGTTTGTGATCCTTTGTAACGCCCTTCTCTCCCCTTCTTTCTTCCAACTTGAAGCTGTTGTAAGCCATCAGGGAATAGTAATACAAGATAGGAATCATGAAATTGGTTTGAAACGTCATTAAAATCTTATCTTAAAAAATCTTAAATTTCAGTGACCATTTAAGGAAGTTTCTTTAGAAGCGTGGGAGGTGGGGTGCTTTATTTAATTATTTACTTTCACATTATTCTACAGGCAATTTGTGAGCACTTTTAAAGCCTTTCCAGGTTAATGTTACTGAGATTCTTCTGCATCTAATTTTATTTCCAAGAGTTCTCTTTCCCTGGAACAGGGATGTCACTTGCTTTGCCTTTTTGCTGCTCAGCCATGGTGAAGTGCCCTGAGGGCGTACAGCTTACAACAGGGAGAGGTGGAGGGAAAGAATAAACTCCAGAACTTGGGGAGAGACATGCTGAATTAACTCAGCAGCAGTTGGTGAAAAGAAGAGACGGGGGATGTGTTAGAGATGGTCTTTGTCCTTTGGGGTTTGGGGATTGGCACGGTCTGCAGAACTTGCTTCCTCTCTGGTTACCTTGTCCTCACCCAGCTGGTCTGTGGCTTAACTGGGACTAAAGCAAAATTTGCTGATTCTCCATTTAAATACATGGGAGAAAGAGACCCTCAGGAAGGAATTAGTTGGCCTAAGGGAAGTGGAAGAGATTAATACAGGATCTTTGGTCCTGATTTTCCTCAAGGAAAGGATGTCAGTTGAGGGTGAGATATAAGATCTGACAGATCCCAAGAACAGCCAGCAGGTGGCACCGTCGGTCCTGACGGCGGAGTCGAGGACCCCAGTGAAGAGCTCCCGCAGAGGCAGGCGTGGCAAGTCTGTGCATGCCCGACCCTTTCTCTGCACAGACAGTCCTGGGTTGCTTTCGTCCCTGAAAGCACTGACTGCTCAATAAATATTTCTGAAAGGATAAAAATCACCCTGAGCACTTAAGGAAAACATCCTTTCTCCTTTCTGAGGAATTGCTTGTAATTCTCTTGAATGTCGAGTGTCTATTATCTTTTGTAGGATGGTTCATTATTTCACGTACAGTCGAAGAAATGTGTTCAGGCCGAGAGGAAGGAGTTGAGTGACAATTTTGTACCACTCTTACGAGACTGCACCAACTCGGAACATCAGAAATGGTTCTTCAAAGAACGCATGGTATGAAGTGTCACTGTACCACGGAGCCTGTCAGAGGAGATGGGGGCCCCCAGGACTCTGTGTTTAACAGAGACTTAGTACAGTGGCAGACCCACTAAAAACTTGGCTGCTCTTTCTTTGATCAGAAAATCATTCTGTGATTTGTGAAAATGATGTTGGATTTAGTAAAAATGTGAATAAGCTTTGTAGTGATTTTGAAAACTTTAAAATTGTTGCCAAATGCCCTGTTTTCAGAGGGTAGTCATAAAATGTTAACTCTTGGTATTCAGAGAATTAAAACCTTTAACTATTTTTCTATCAAGATATATAGTCTACTGTCATTTCTTTTTTGTTCCCCCTAGCAAAAAGGTAACTATTTTATTTTGATATTTGCAGGGATTCCTATGTTTTCCTGGGTGGAAATTAGACTCATGTAATGTACTTCGCATAAACTGATAATACCTCAAGTATTGGGTTAGAGTTTTCTCAGTGTAGACAGGTGGACACTGGGAACATTATATTGATTCCTTTAGACTTTTGAGATAACCTAGGTTTATTAAATAAAGAATTCTATTTAGTTTTGTGTTGCTGCCATGGTCAAAATTGCAGTTAAAGTTTATGTTAACTAAAGAGAACTAACCAAAGCTGAAATTTCAAGAGAACAATTTGATGTACTGGGCTAATACAAAGTTCCACTACACAGGGTAGACTTCTGACAGTGCTTAGCTGTGGTCTGGCTGGCTACTTTTAGTAATTACCACAGTGACTTTAAAACATGTTTATATCACTTTAAATTTTGATCACATGTTAGTGTCAGGAAGAAATTTAATTTTTTCTGTGAAATTCAGTTTTCAAATGTGTTCATTAATAATATTTGGTCATTTAAATTCATGTTAGATTTTGTGCTGCAGCAGCTGCTACAGTTTCTCTCAGTAACTCTGATGTGAGAACTAGCTCAGATCTGCTTCTGAGATCTGGTCAACCTGATAAAGTCACTATGAGTGATTAAAAAAACACAGCAAGAACATTGCAGATCTTTGTGTTTGCAATTAGTCAGATGTGAGAGATGAAGACACACATGCATTTAATTAAAAAGCATCAACTTTTGTCTCAGGCTTTTTTACACATTCCCCTCTGAGGGATCTAGTTGAGCAATCACCCAGGAACAAATCCAGTTGACCTGGCTTGGATCAATCTGATGCATCTTAACCACTCTGAACTTCAATTTCTTAATCTGTGAAATGAGAACAATGAAACCAAGCTCTTGAGGTAGTTGTGAGGATTATATAACATAGAACAGGTGAGGGCTGAGCTTAGTCCTTGGCTTGCAGTAATGGGGTCCATTAAGTTTCTGTTTTCATACATGCACTTTATAAAATGTGAAGCACAATAAATTTCAGTAGGTGTTTATTCAAGAATAAATATTAAATAATTTAGTCATTTTATCTTTGCAGGATTAAATAGCTCCTCAGCAGGCAGGAACACGGTATGAACTTCCAGTACAGCTCAGTCCACTCGTAAATGTCATGTGCTGTGGGGCCAAAGCATCCCTCCTCCACTGTGGTAACTTTTAAAGCAGATGAGGTGCCGCTCTTGGCCTGTGATGGAGGTAAGCAGTCTGCTCTGCCCCCTCCCCCATGCCCTTCCAGTCCGAGCTCCATTGAAGGGATGTCAGCCCTTCCCAGGGTGTAGGAAGACAGTTTGGGCAGACAGAGAATTAGTGCTAATCAGCTTCATAATGAGCACTGGAAAGCTACACAAGCTTTTTTGTGTGTGTTCAGTGGGCACCACTGGTAATTAGCTTTGCTTGAGAAGTCATCCCTCTTACTCCTGCCAGCAGTTTATATGTGGTCATTTTTAGGGTGGAAGAACTAATAAAAATATTCAGGGTGTCAAGGGAAATATTTGCACAGACTGGGAGGCAATTTATAACATTTTGAGGAACCTTTCCCCTTCACTTTCTCCTTCTCTGATGGATGAGGAGTCTCAGCCCTGCCCCACTGGAAGGTAGAGAGTGGCCTCCAGCCCTTGAGTGTGGAGTCAGGAGTCCTGGGGACCAGCCCCAGTTGTGGTGGGTTGTGTCCCCTGCTAGGACTCATTTCCTCATCTGAATAATGGGGATAAAAGTATCCTTTGTTGATTTCTTAGATTTTTTTTTTAGTTACTTTGTTAGTGGTTGCCCTAGGGATTACATTATGCTTCCTGAATTTATTGCAGTCACTTTCATTCTTAGTATTGAGTTAAATCCAGTAAAATTTAGCAAATTTGTATCAGTATAGCTTCTGTCTCCTCCTCTGTGCTATTATGGACATATATCTAGATGTTATTTAAACCATTGTTAAATTGAGTTTATATTACTTTACATAATAAGAGAAGAAAAGTAAAAAAAAATATATATATACAATATACACACAGTCTCTTACATTTACCCACATATGTGCCATTTCCCATGCTTTTCATTACTTCCTGTGAATCTGAGAGACCCTCTGGTGTCATTTTCTTTCACTGTAAGGCCTTTCTTTGGGATTTCATCTAGGATAGGACTGTTAGCAATAAATTCTCTCAGTTTTTGTTCATTAGGGAATGACTTTATTCTGCTTTCAATTTTTAAAGAGATAGTTTAGCTGGATATAGAATTCTTGACAGTGATTTTTCCTTCCAGCACTCTGAATTTGGGATTACACTACCATAGTGCCGCCATTGTTTTCAATGAAAGGTCATCCGTAATCATTTTGTTGCCTGTATGTGATGAGTCATCATTCTCTTGCTGCTTTTAAGATTTTCTCTTTGTCTTTCAGCAGTTTAAGGTATGTCTAAATGTGGTCTGTGTTTATTGTACTTGGGGTTCATTGAGCTTGGAATGTAATTTAATGTTTTTAAAATCTACTTGGGAAGGTTTTAGCCATTGTTTCTTCAAATATTTTTTCTGCTCCTTTCTCTGTTCTGGATAATTTCTGATGATCTATCTTTAAATTCACTGATTTCTTCTGCCATCTCAAACTTGCTGTTGAGCTTATGTAGTCATTTTATTTCAGTTACTTTTCAACTCTGAATATCCATTTAGTTCTTTTTTGTAGTGTCTTTCTCTGTTGAGATTTCCTATACATTGACTTACTGTTAGCATATTTTCCTTTAGCTCTTTGAATATAGTTTTCTTTAATTATTTGAATATATTTGTAATAGCTGCTTTGAAGCCTTTGTAACTTAGCAGCTGGAAACATTAAACATATTATTGTATAGTTTCTGTAGGTCAAAAATTCAGGCATGGCTTGATTGGATTCTCTGCTCAGGGTCTCCCAAGGATGTCGTCAAGGTGTCGACCACGGCTGTGATCTCATCTGGGACTCAGGGTTCTCTTCCAAGCACAATAGTTGTTGGCTGAATTCAATTCCTTGAGGCTATAGAACTGAGGACCTCAGCTGTAAAAGTCCACTTACCATTCCCTGCCATGTGGCCTTCTCTATAACATGACAATTTTCTTCTTCAAGGCCAGTAGGAGATTATCTGCTGATTCATGTCTCTTTTAAGTTGATTAGTTGATAACTTGATTAGGTCAGATTGACCCAGAATAATCTCCCTTCTGTTAACTCAAAAGTCAACTGATTAAGGACCTTAATTACATCAAAAAATTCCTTCACTGGAGTAATAGCTCATCATATTCACAAGTCATGCACACACTCAAGGGCAGGGGATTAAACAGGGCATATATACCAGGAGGCAGGAATCTTGGGGGTCATCTTAGAATTCTACCTATCACCATCCACCCTAAGCCCCCAATAATTCACATCCCTTCCACATGAAAAATATATTTACTCCTTTTCAGGGTTCCTCAGAGTCTCATCTCATTACAGCACGTGTTCCAAATCCAAAATTTAATCATCTAAATCTACATCTTATCACCTAAAAGTTCAAGATCTAAATCAAGTCCAGGTACAGATGTGGCTCCTGGGTGTCATTCAGTAGGTGCAGCTGCTGGGACAAAGTTGCTCTCCATCCATAGACCTGTTACACTGAAGAGGCTGTTCATTCTCCCCAAACACTGGCAACATAGAGTAGTGAGAAGGCATAGGATAATGTTCGTAGATGTTCTGGCTCAAAAAAGAGGAGAAGGTCAGAAGGAGTCACAGGTCCATAATGGTTTTGAAATCAGGTAGATGTTTGCCTTTCTCGATTTAATTTCAAGACCTGGGAATAATCCTCAGGGCTCTTGGCTCTTTCTTCTGGGCGTGGGATTCCTCCTTGTCATCCTTCATATTTTATGAAGGATAACACATTTGCAGCTGAGTAGTTTTATGAACCCTGCTTCCTGCAAGTAGAATTTGGGGAGTCCAACCACCTCTTCATTTTGTTCTCTCTCTGACCCTTTTCAGCCAAGCTGGCAGGATTTCTGCTGAGATAGTCCTCAGAAACTATGTGGGTCTTGCATGGATTCACTGCCTTTGACTCCACTAGACAAAAGCCAAATCCACAGATCTTTTCAAACAAATCTCTGTTCTCTCTTGGCCTCTTGTTTAGATGGCTGAGCGATAATGACCTTAAGCTTCCTAGATGCTCCTGGTTTAGTCAAGGAGCTCTGTGACATGCACACACTCTTAATCTCTTAAAAGCGGCCTTGTGTGACTGAGTGTTCTGACCTTTTGATCTTTCTGAGGTTTCAACGAAAGGTTGTGCAGTCTCACACTCAGCCTTTTTTCTCTATGCCACACTTTCAGCAGCCGTTCTGATTTTTAGCATCTTTTGCCATCTGGAGAGGCTGAACATTTTCTAAATAATTCAGTCCTTATTTTTTTGGTGTAACAGTTTTCCCTCTACTTATCTCTCTGGTCTTGCATTTTACCAGAAGCAGCAAAAAGGAAACCAGGCAGCACCTTCAGCACTCCTTGAAAATCTCCTTAGCTATATAACCAGGTTCATCCCTTCTAAATTCTGTGTAACTGCAGCAGACAATGTTGCTAAGCTTTCTGCCACTGTATAATAAGGACCTCCTTTTTTCTACTTTCTAATGACGTTCCTCACTTCCTTCTAAACCTTCATCAGCAGTGTTGTCAACATTTGTATTTCTACTAACAATCTCTGAGGAAATTTAGGCTTTTTCTATCATGTTCTGCAGAATTCCTTCAGCTTCCTCCTGCTGCTCAATTCTGATGCTGCTCCCACATTTTAGGTATTTGTTACAGTGGCATCTCACTTCCAGGTACCAAAATCTGTATTAGTTTTCTATTGCTGTATAGTACATTGCCACATACATAGTGGCTTGAAACAGCATCATTTATTGTCTCCCAACTCCTGTAGGTCATAAGTCTGGGCATCGCTTAGCTGGGTTCTCAGCT